ATTTCAAAAATCAAGCGTCTACTATTTTCCCTAGTTTTTATATCGTCGTGACGTAATAAACCCCTATAAGAGAATATAGCCTTACTATACGCGAAAAAATTCGGAAACTATGGTATATTAAGAGAACATCAACTAAGCAAAGATTTTATTATCTACGACCTCTTAACAAATCGTTCGGACAACTCCTTCCTTTTAGCGGACTAACGAATTTCCCTCCGCACTCACCGCGCCTTTCGCACGCGCGCGCCCGCCGCGTTCCCGGCGCCCCCGTCACGCCCGTCGCGACTTCATCGCGCGTCCAACGCACTCTCCGCACGTACCCAGCGCTCCCCGCGCCAGCGCCCTCCACGGTGCTCCCCACGCTCGTCGCATCCCGCACCGGACCCCACGCCCACCACCTACATCATACTACACTCACCATGCACACTCCCACGCCCATCGTGCCCATCGCGCTCGCCTCCCCGCGCGACCGGCTCTTCGCGTTCCTGGCGCTCGCACTGCGCCCACCTTGCTCCCCGCGCCTTTTATGCGCCCCGTCGTGCTCCCCATGCCGCGCTCCGGCGCCGACTGCGCTCTCCGTGCCTGCAATGCAGGGCTTCCCGCGCTCGCACCGTGCCACCACGGCTCCATCCTACATTGCTCCTTTGAGCGCCCATCTTCGCGCGCACACTGCATTCCCTGCGCCTCCCGCGCCCACCGTGCACTCCATGCTCACCGCACCGCGCCCACCACCCACGCAATGCGCGTAAAATTGCCCTGCGGCGTCCAAGGCACGGGAGGGGGGGTTGGTTGCCTGGAAATCAGGAAAGGGTGGGGGGAGGGGGGGCATAGAAACGAAAGACTAGCCATGCTAGCTTTCGTGATATCGAATCCGGAGATTCATTGAAATTCCGGGAATATTCGACAAACACATCCGCAAATATTCGGGAACCTCCTGTACTGGGCAGGCCAAAACCCGGAAAAGGAGAGAGGCCATCTGGTGATATATCATTCAACCCGGATACCAACTTCGTGTCTCTCCCAACAAACGGAAGAACAAGCTTAGTCCTGTACTAGGGCGAAAGGGATCCTGAGAAAGTATAGTGTTCACGTTGTATGAAAGAAACCGGCGACCGTGCCTGATTGAAGCAACGTTCCATGGACTGTAGGGTTCACAATTGACATTTCAGGCTCACAAACCTTCCAACGCGGTCTTCAGACTCCAGACCAACCCCAGTTTTCTGCCATTCACAACATCTCGGCACTTTTGGCAGCTCGGCAGCTTGCCGAGCAGAGAGGCTCAGGGTATCATCGACCTGGTACTAAGGACAACGGTGAATTGGTTCTGCGCGAAGCCGTCTGAGTCTCTTCAGGTCCGGAACTGAAAGACGATAGCAGGTAATGACAGGTAGGATGCCGTAAGCCAGAAGACTCATCGAGGAATCCTCTCTCATGAGGGCTTCAATGCATGAGATGCCGGCGCACAGCATGTCAGCCGCCTCAACATGATGGAGCCTCTCGGGAAGTTGAGCATGGCATAGGCAGAAGCTATTGAGCTGAATTGGTGATGGCCTTTCCCAGAGCAAGTTGGGCGCATTGAACAGCAACATGGAAACTGATGCCCTTTGCCTAGACAAAAGCACCTGGAAAGAAGGATGCCCTCAAGTGCTACGAACTTCGCAGCTGCTTCAAGCGAAAGTGGACATGCACTGGCTTGGAACCTAGAACCTGTCGGCATGTGCAACGGGCAGCGAGAAGTGCTTCTTCTGCACTTCTCTGGATTATGGGCCTAGAAGGAGCTCCTAGTTGTTACGAAGCCTCGAAGATGCCTCATGGCCGCACGGGCGCAGTTGGAAGTTGGACGTCGCTGAGAGCGTAGTTGTTCCTGACATCGGGCAATCCCAGAGGGTCCATATATAATTACTACTATTATGGAATTAGGTCGCCAAAGCCATAATAAGGATGGTCTATTGAGGCCCAGTACCATAATGGTAGCATATATGGACCCTCTGGGAGTGTGTCAACTCTGGGGGCGGATCTGGATCTGGTCCGCCTGGAGCACGCAGACGCTCGCAGGCTCTTTTTCTCTTCAATGTCTTCGCCGGCTTTTCGTGCACAAGTTCCGATGAATCCGCTCACTAACGCCGAGGAATAGGATCCGCCATGATGAAAAGGCCGTAGGTCCCCAAATTGTACTTAAAGAGCACCCGATACTTGAACTTCATGAACATCTTTTTCTTAATCGCCTTGTAGCCGAAGTCTTCATCTTTGTCTTCAACTTCTGAATCTATCACCTCCCAATGTTTCTTGTCGGGCCAGGTGGCTTCACACTTCATACGGATGCATTGGTTGTTGTGCTCTCCACCACATCCGTCAATGATCGCGTTGAGCTTGTCCTCGTCTGCTGGATCATAGCGGCTGAATTTTTTGCTGATGCTACGTCCAAAGAAGCCTTGGGTAACTTGGGATTCATGGATCTGGCGAACGCCTGACGACGGAGAGGCGCACATGCAGAGCACCAGCGTCGGAATGAAAGACTTCAACATGATCAGGCAACGAAGGTATGCACTGTCCCGCGCTAGAAAGGAAAGGATGAGGGCCGTCCTACTCAGCAAGCTTGTGAAAAGGATGCGGCGAAGTGGCTGCAAACGCCGGACATGTTGCAATCTGATTCACGCTACAAGCAAAACAGGCGGGGTGCACCCCTGCATTTGCGCAGCCGTCAGCAAGATCCGCATTTTGAAGCAGCAGCGTTCCAAGGCCGCGAGTGAAGTTTCTCGCATTTTGATTGAAGCAGCAATTCTCTCCTGTTTTGCCCGCCCGGGTCGCCTTCCGTCGGGTGCTGTAGCTGCTAGAGTGTGCTCACCTGCATGGTAAGTTCAAGACTCTTTCTCATAAGTTTAGTGAACCATCGGATACAACAACCACACTCCAACGTTGACTTGACTTGCGCTCCCAAGGCGACAACGAAAGCTTCAAGCTGCAAACCACGCCGCGGCTGGCAACGGCTTGAAGAAAATGCTGCAGACAGTAGAAGCAGTCCGCCCCACAGAGTTCAGAGTCATGCACGCATTCTCTCTGACAGGAGTTGCTAGGTCGTTGCATGGGAAGGCACAGTTCCAGCACAGCGAGCTTTTTTGTCTGTGCTCACGCGCTCAACCAGATTCGACTCGTCTGGGAATGTCGAAGAATCGTATACCCTACAATCGCTCAACGACGTTTCGCATTGCCTCCCACCGAGAAGCACTGTCTTGCACAAGCAGCTTTGCTGTAGAATCGTTCTCAGTGGGAGGAGTCTTGCGGATCTGCTGCAATTCGCAGCGCGAAGATATTCGCGAAATCCGGGGGCGTGCCGCGCACAAACCTGCCAGCCGCAAGCAGAACCATGCCATGACAATGCAACATCTGTCGGGCCCAACTACTGTGACAATTCTCCTTAGCAGCACTCTCTTCCGTATTCCTTGACGTGCGCGGCTTGCATCGCTTCAAGACGACTTCTTCTCGCAACTGTTCGTTGGTTGGCGTGGGCTGGGACTGCTCTATCTCCAGGGGACGGCAAATTTGTCACCACACATCCCAAAGTCTTAAACTGATTTGTGGATTGCGGCGGAGTGAAGAGTCGTTTTACGAGCAAAGGGAGGGTTCTTTGAGTGATGACGAACGATTCCTTAAGCATCGGCACAAAACAAGCTATACTGACGGCAGGTTCGCTGCGTCAACAGAACTTTCTGGCATGCCAAGCAACATTGTTTCCAGGCACACTTTCTGCAGAAACAGCACATCCATGCTCAGAAACTGGCATATGACTAAGCTGGTATTGTACAGTAGATTCTCTGGATGTGTCAACGCAGAAAGGCTTTGCCACAGGCTCCTCCAAGGAATGTAAAACAGAAATGTTGCTGACATCTACTTGGAATCATAACATTCGCAGTGCGCTGATCGATGTTCGGCCTGGTTCTTTCACACAATACACTGGGCCAGCCCCAGACCCCTCCTTCAAGCCCCCCTGCATGGCTTTCCGACAGCTAGGCCGGTTGGCAACTCTAGACTCTAGACCGTACTGGAACAAGACCGATCTTTCTGCTGGAAGACCTTCGCCACCGCGTGTCAATCGAAACGTCTTAGTTTCGTCCACTCGCAAGCTCAGCATGGCAACTACAAGACGGTTCTGAGAAGAAAGTCACCATCTTTCCGAATGATCGCCCTAAGCCGAGAACGTGCTGGAACTAATCATGATCTGAAAATCGGTTGGCACCAGACTCTGCACAGCTCAGAGATGCAGCATAAGCGCGGAGGTCTAGCTGCTGTTGTAAATCGCGCAATGAACACTCCATCGTTCTGGGACTGTCTGTTTGTATGTTATATGGGGTTATGGCTTGGTTGGTCGGGATTGGAGATGTCACCACACACTGACAGAGTCTTGGCTAGCGTGGGTCCAGCATGCGCCGTAGTCTTCCGTGTGCGTTGTGAATCCTCATGGTTGTTTCTTGGTGGCGCAGAGTGATGATTGGCCGAGGGATTGAAGGATGATGGAAGGGCCTTGCACACGTGCGAAAGGTCCGGTAGTAGCACTTACTTTACTGAAACTTCTCATTTGGAGCTTTGGCCGAGTTGGCTCAGCAGTCTACGGACAGATCGTTTGACTTCGGGGTGTAAACTGCTGTGTTTTGTTCATTTCCCTGGTCGGCAAGCAGTTCAGACTTCAAAAGCTCACGGATGCCATGGGGTCGAATAGACCATGCGACACCATTTCCTTTGACTGGTTGTAGCCCACAGTGCTAAAAAAGCTGCGAAACGACCTAGCACGCTGCTTCGCTCCTAACTCTAGAGCTCCTGTCTGACTCTTGCAGTTCGCCATGCTGAAAAACATTGCTCCGCTAGAAGGGTGAAAGACGTACGGAGCCAGAGGCAGTGCTGTGCACGGTGCAACTCAGTCTGAGGGCGCATGTGCCACAGGCTCCGGAAGCTCGCACGGAGATGCTTAATGTTGAATAGCTACGCTTTATTATGCTTTCATGCTTGCGAATGCAATCTACATCAACAACTCGTGCTCTTTTCTCTTTCGATCATGTCAAACTGTCTATTGCTTGGCCCGACTGCAACTGCGACCCCAATAGGGCCAAGGGGTCGTGTGGGACATGTCATGACAAGTCTTGATCGTTGATGAGCCAGTAGTCCTTCTGGAAACTCGATGAAACTTGCCAACCCAGGTACCCATCTTCATGGGATTCCGTCACGGCCATCCGTCACTCGAGGATTACAGATTCATTGCTCGGTTCAGCTGATCCTGCCACTGTCACGGAAAGTGTAAGAACCCATACCCACATGCAGATGCAGGTGACTTGAAGGGTCCACGTGAGTTCATGTTCCTTCTTGGCTTGGCGCTCCTCTCGAAGGTTGCCAAAGTTGGACAGTTGTGATGGCAGCCCATTCATTGGACCTGGAAGTGCAAGCCAAGCCCGAAGCATCGGACCTCTCAGGCCCAGGCCTGCGCCGAGATGGCCCGGTGGGGGGGGCCAGCTGGACATAGAGCCGCCACCTGCCGAAAGTGCTCCAAGCTCTGTGTCGCTGTGTGACCCATTGTGACCCCAGGCCTCCCTTGCCCATCAAGCCCGTGCCAGTGCCCTTGCCGAGGCCCTGTCCGCATGGACCTTGCAGTCTTAGAGTCTCTCAGATTCCGAGGCAGGCGCCCCTGCCCCTGCCCGAACTGAGCCGCTGGCCCATGCCTCCCTGGAGCATAGCAACCTGCAGCCACGTAAGCTGCCGTGTCTTGAGCATTGCAGCCGCTTGTTATTAACAACCCAATGTCACGTCAAGAAGCCATTGACAAGGGCTTTCAGCAAAACCATTACTGACGTCTATCGGAGACACCCCAAACCTACCGCGACGTGCCTGCTGCTGCCACTGCAACTGTGCTGCCTGGGAAGCTGAGCTATCCACCGTGAGAAGCTTCGACAGGCATGCAGAAACAAGGGGATGGGGGCGGGGAATGTCAGGCATCGCGAGTCCCCAGGCCAGGCTCATCTGCCAGAAGCTGAGAATGCAGCAGCTGCTTGCTGAGAAGCCCCAAACCTCACAACAGACGCAGGAACAAAACCTATGGAATTCTTGGTGAGCCCAGTTGAAAAGAGAAGTCGCGCCCTAAGGTTTCGACTGAAGTCCCTGAGCAGCTTGCTGGCGGACCTTTCTGGCACAAGCTTGCGGTGCTGGACTATTTACCCCCATTCTACTCCACTTTAGCACTCAGCCTGCAAGTAGGACAGCAGTTCCTGCTGCGACTGCTCCTGATGTGATCATGCGACCAGAAATCTCCGGCTTCCATGGCACTGCAAGTCGCAACACTCTAAAAGTCCTCTGCGCCCAGCCAGTTCTGCACCCCTCCGCCACCAGCCTGGCAACGCCGCTCAATGTAGAGATATTCTTGAATTGACATGCTTGATTCTCAGGAGTTGCCTGAAGCAAGGACGGGCCGAGCCCAGGCGGGGCTCCGTCCATGGCTGACCACTGGCTATGACCTTGGCTGCGGTGCAAAGGCACAAGGCGGCGTAAGGCTTGACACAGAGAATCCCCCTCCATCTGTAAATACCTTGGTGGAAAGGCAGAGACCACTCAGTCCAGGGTATCCTCCTTTGCCGAGCATCTGACCTGAGCAGTTGGGTCACTTCGTGTGCAGCTCATGCCTTGCGAGCACCACCTTCCTCCCATGACCTGTCCTTTTTAACCTCCTAGTGAGAGTCAACCCTCACGATATGCAACGTAGAGATCCCTGCATCCAGGCTCAGCAACACGTGATACGGCTCTGCTCTCTGGAAAACGGGGTCCCGGACTCTGCTGCAAAGCGCTTGCCTGGAGGCTACAGACACTGTTCGCGGAATCCAGCTGGAACGCGCTGGCCCCTGCCTCCTACTGTCCTTCCTAGTCACCGGAGACGGGAAGGGGTTCAGTGACCAAGTTTCAGAGTGTTATGTCATAGCGAGCTTTTCACTCTTTCAGCCAAGGCGCAGGGTCAGGCAAGTAAGCGGGGCTGAGATCGCTGAAGCCACATCCTCGCCAAAAGCAGGAATGACTGGCGGCATCGGAGTGGGTAACACTTTATGGACACGAGCGCGTCCATAGCACAAGCTAGGTCGGCACAGAAAATCTCGACCTGCCCGAACCTAACTGCATTCCTCCGCTTGAAGCTGCAGCCCGCGGGACCTCTGGCAGCAGCAACCGTGTTCGGATGCTTGGCCACATCAGAAGAAGCACTCTTGAGCCAGGACTAGGCGCAAAGGGCAAGAAGAGAAGAGAAAGTCCCGTTCAGACAAAAGAGTTTTAGCCTCTCTCTGATTTGACAGCTAAGAATCTAAGACCACCGCCCCTGCAGAGCTGGAGGTCGAGGGAGGCTTCGACGGCGCCCCCACCGGCCTGAGGCAACGTCGAGCCGAGAGACCCACCGCCTACGCCTCAAAAGCCCAATCAACGGTTGCTTTGGCATTTGAAGTCATTTGTGGACACTGCAGATCAAGTAACAAGGAAGATCATGAGACACCCGGCGGCCCCTTCTCCGATTCTTGTTCACGGCTCTCGAATGCTTTTCAAGACCTACTGCCCAGCAGCGAATCGAGTTTTTTCTCTTGGCAGGCTGCTTGACTACTTGAGTCAGTTTCCTGTCGGCTAGGCAACTCGGGGGTCTTCGGTCTTCGAGATCGAGACGGGAAGCCAGCTGGCAACATGCTCCCTGCTGGAAAATGGGAGAAGAAGCGGTGAGCCGACGCGTCAACCGAAAAAGCTGTCACGAGGCTCCAAGTTCACAGAGGAGTTGAACTTTAAATGGCACGGGCGAAGCCCATAACGGCGCTTAAAGCGCTACTGAAGTTAAGAAAATAGTCTGTGTCTGTTGCCGATGCACGGAATCCATGCCTTGGCCATGGCTCTTACGTGCAAGCAAGGGAAAATCACAAAAAAAAAAAGGAACTGTTTGACTCTGTTACTATAATATTCTGGAATTAGAAGATTAAATGAAAGCGCGGCCTGGCTCGGCTACGGCTCACTTGGCGACGATTTTGCCTGGCTCTGCCTCCCGCAGACCCGGCTCGCTGCGATGGGCAGCTACGCTCTGTGCCAGAGCATCTGGTGACATCTCCACCTCTTGCTGGAAGGCATTCAGGAGGGCCATGTAGATCTCGTGATGTCGCACGCCACGGCGGCGAATGCACGGAGTTGAGTTTTCAGGGCCCCACGATCGCCAGCTCAACATGCAGTCGACATCAGGTGACTGGTCCTCCGGCTCGATGGCCAAGACTCGAGCCAAGTCTGTCTGCTCTTGCTCCTGCACGAAAGCTGGTGAAGCAGAAGGTTGGATGCACCTGATCTCCTGCAAGGGGTTTCGAGTCACACTGGCAGCGGATCCCATCGGCGGTCTAGCTTAAAACGGATGGACCTCAGCCCCAGACTCCGGGAAAAGCTCAGCTTTTCGCTGATCGCCGCAAGATCTCTTAAGCCAAAAGTCGCGATGACAGAGAGAGTCGAGATGAAATGAAGCTCCACGTCTCCCCGACAGCCCCGGGCTTGGGCCCGCGCCCGAGCGTATTCTTGGTGGTGAAGCTGGGGACCTCAGTGCCGTGGAGCAGAACAGCAGAACAGCGGCGCTCTCTGTGAGGGCCCTGCCGGCATGGAGAGTGCCGAGGGAGGCCGATGGCTCTTCTCCTTGCTCCGCCCCTGACCACAGGCAGCAAGGATAGAGAGAGAGAGAGGGTGAGGGTGAGGGTGAGGGTGAGGCTCGCGGCGGCTGTTTCGGCCTCCTTGACGAGGCGGCGCTCCTTCCCCTCGGCAGATCCTCAGAGACACGGAAACGGAGAGCAGTCTCTTTCAGAGCCAATCGGCTCTCTTTCCAGCCAGGTCCAGCCACTCTCTCAGACTCAAGTGTCTTTCTCTCTTTCGCTCTCTCTCCGTAGGGCATCGGCCGGGCACTTTGTAGCTTTCCCGGGAGATGGCTTGCCTGGCTCTGCACGTCCGCGCTTCAGAGACGAGCACTCAGCTTGCCGTAAGCGGTTCGACACCTATTGAGATGTATCAGAATGTATCATGATGTACCAGAATCTTTCAAGAATCATGCGCCTCTCATCCCTGTGAAGGGCATACCTGAGCTCGGGCTGGCGGAGCACAGAGCCATGAGCCCAAGGGGCTTCCTAAGAGAAGGAAGCAAACGCCTTCACTAGCGGCTTCATGTCTGAAGGAGGAAGCCCTGTTTAAAACCTCTCATTAACAGCAATCCAACTTCCAGCCTTTCCCCCCGAAGTGACAGGCCAAGCGGCTGCAAAAGCAGCAGCGCATGATTCGGGAACCAAGGTGTTAAAGCCAGCTGTTCCTGGAAGGTCTCCAGTGCGAAGCTTTGTTTGTGTCCATCCGGCTCTGTGGCACCGTGCAGCTAAAGGACCAGGCGTTAAAACTGTCGCATCAGGGGGAGTATTGCACATTCGACAGCGGATGGTTGGACCACCCAAATGTAACTGTAGGTACATGTAGGAGGCTGCACTCAAGGTCCTTGGCCAGCAAGCCAAGCTTCGCCAGTTCGTTCACCAACTGTCGCAGTGAGGACAACGGCTTCTTGAGTGAAATGGGCGGTGCAAGGCTTTTGGAATAGCGCAAAACTTGCCAGTATTGGCTGCTGGGCTTTGAGCTTCAGAGAGCCCGTGGAGTCTACTTGGCTTAGGTAACTTCCTTATGGGAGCGCGATGACGAACACCTGTGTCGACTTTCTGAGAGGCCGAAAGCCCTGCATTGCCCCAGCCTTCATGTCTAAGTTGCCGCCAGAGCTGGTGTCCGTGCGAATGTCCAAAAACACCCAAATCCTGTGCAAAACGCGGTCTGTTCCGCGGGTTCTTGCCAGGCTGCTCACATGTTGCTTCCTACGGCATTCTGCTCCGTCCACACTGTGGCAAACCTGGATAAACCCATGTCGAGTTCCGGCGGGCCTCTCGTGGCTGTCGGAATTCTCGCCCTGAGAAGTCTAATTCTTGGCAGAATTTAGGGTGTGGGGGATCAGCAACCCCGCAAGCGGCCGCTGTCGACCGCGGCCTCGGAGTGCTTCTTCTCACTGCTCCTGCGAGGCCTCCTGGCGCACTGGCCCGGTCAGGAATCGGCGTCTGAGATTTTCGACACTCAAAGGGCAAGGGCTCCTCCACCGCTGGAGAATGTTGGTATGATTCATCACCTGGTCAGGACATCGAGGCAGGTTGAGGCATAAATGAACTGACGCATCTCACGGTCATCGCCGTAATTATGCTGGGTCGTCGAGGCTCCCACAATCTCCTGCACATGCCGCGGTACCTGCAAAAGTGGCACTTGTAGCCGTATATGTAAGGCGACGCTGGCTCTCAAATCCGCGATCACAGCAAGCCAGTATTCGCACACGACTGGATACAATGTCCTTGCCCACTGGACGATACTAGAAAGTCGAGACGGAATTGCTCTGCTTCATGCTGTCACGCTGGGGCGGCCGTGCATGCCATGAATTCAATCAACCTCCCTGTGCTTCTTGGCATCTCCATGACAGCAGGGCCTTGTCAAACTGATCCGCGTCCTGCATCGAGTCAGCTGATGATGGGGATAACCCGTACAGTACAGTGGGGACCGGAACAAAGTTTTAGCCTTGGTGCTCCGAGACTTGAAACCGTTGAGGCTTCTAGATCTAAGTCCAAGTCACGGGACCTACAAAGAATCCAGCCACCATAGCTTCAACCTCACATCTCCCCCCACAGGGTTCAAACCCGAACAGCAATACCTGAATACACTCGCCTGTGCCAACGGCCGGCCTCGCCCCAATCCTTGTCCTTGGCGTCTCCAGTCCAAGGCCACAGAACGAGGCCTCGAAGGTAGCAGCGGTCGAAACAACACTTTCCCTCCTCCACCCTGCTCTCGAGACAGGTAAGCTCGGAACAACAATCAACGAGAGAGGTGGCGAGAGCGAAATGGAGAGACCGAGCGAGCGAGAGACAGGGGGGGAGAGAGAGGCGGAAGCAGGATGAAGAGGTTCGGTAGCGCGCGCGTGCCGCACCAGATCAACAAAGACAGAGCAGGGAAGGGCAATGCACGCTCCCTCTCCGTCTCTCTCCCGAAGTGCCCTCGGGTCAACAGCTCGTTTGGGGTGGCCATGCGCAGCCAAGGAGCTTTTGATATGCGCAGGAGTAGTGCACCTGGCGACGCCCCGTGGACGCTTGCAGACTGCGAAACCACCAGTAAACCGGGACATGATAAAACCCTGCCCGACATCGATGTTCCGAAGGCACGGGCACTTCTTTTGCAATTGGCCAGGCACAGGAAATTTGCACCGGGATAGGCTGCTCAATCCGCACTTCTTGTGGCAGCTTCGGGAGGCTTCGTGAGCTTCGCCAGCATCCCTGGTCCCTGGTCCCAGGCTGCGAGTTCTGCGTGACACGCTTCCGCGCCGCGACTGTCTCCTCTCATGCGGCATGCGTGCAGATTTGTCTTCGGACACGAGCCCTGAATCCACACAGAGAGCTTCAGTCCAACGTGAGAACTTCAGTTGTATTCCATTCCAGCTCCTCACTGAGAGGCACGTCCTCCTCCTGTTCTTCCTCTTCCCCTTCCTCCCCCTCTGCCTGGAAGTCAAGTCCTGTATCTTCTTCTTCTTCTGCTCTTGCGCGCTTTTCCTCTTGAATTTCCTGAAGAGTCGGCAACATGTCTGAAATAAGCCTCAACATGTCTTGGACCTCCTTTTCCGACTTCTTGTCCCTATCCTTTAAGGCTCTTTCTTGCCCTGAAGACCTCTTCTCCCGCTCTCCGGGCTCGAGAATTCGCTGTGCTTCCTTTGGGGCTCTTGGCGAGGGCTTCGACTCCGCGGCGGCTGCAGCGGCTCCCTGAGATCTCTGACCATCCACGACTTTCCAGACATCTTCCTGTAGAAAGCTGGGCGTCTCCGTTCGGGGCCGCTTCGCTTTGGCCTTCTCCATCTAGCCTCGCAGCAGCCTACCTGCGCTACAAGAAGGGTCCTTCGTTCTCAGGAGTGGAAGCTAAGGCTTCGCCCTCAGTGAGTGAAGCTAAGGCCGGATGTGTGGAGTTCTTGTCCTCTGGCTGGGCAGCTCCTATCGCCTACACTTCGAACTCAAATGGCTCCAACGGAAGAGTGCCATGGCAGTTTCCGCTCTGCTGGCATTGTAGTTCGGAAACTCGCAAGCTCCTGCAGCAAGTCAAGCAGGCGTCTACTGGACGATTGTGAGATGCTCTGCAACCTGCGGAGGCCGTGCTCTACCCTTCCCAGAACCCAAACACTGCCTGGTGAGTGGTCTTACGGCAGAGTTCCTGACACAGGTGTTCCGAAATCTAAGGGGAAACCGAGGCAGCTTGGCACTAGGAAGTCGAAGATGCGCTTGCACAGCTTCGGGGCATCCTCTTTCAATAGCCTCAACAGGGCCAACGGGCTTCAAGAAGAGAAGACAAACATCTGCATACCATAACAAGACATTCAATTCACGAAAAGCCCGCACACGGTTCCCTCCGAAACTCAACCCTGGCTCAGTCAGTGTCATCTTACAGCTGCGGCAAACGAGCCTTGCAGGGCTGTTCTCCCCCAACCGGGGATGCAGCGCCATGAGGAAGGCATACCTGACCAGGCGAGGAAAGCTCCAAACACCCTTTTCAGCTTGCATTGCTCCATCCGCGAACCACGTACGCGAATGAGCCGGCACACTGCATGCATGCAACTGTAAGTTCGCCTTGCAGTGGCATGAGGCATATCTACGTGGGTGGGTAGGCACAAACACCCGGAAACAGACACAGCAGTGATGATGAGATGCCATGCACCATTTGGTGCCTGCACAACATGAGGAGACAGCTGCAAGAAAGAGACCCAGAAATTCTGGCACGAGGGTGAATAGCTAGATCAGCTGACAGGTCACTTAATAAAGGACAGTTTCCTGCAGACCCTCACTGATCCTCCCGGAATCATACTCCACCTGGAGTTTCGAACACAACCGGCTGAGAATTGAGAAAGCAGATCTTCAGAACAGCCGAAGCTGTTGGAACAGAGCGTTTGACTTGGACAGGTGACTTCTCCAAATGCTGCGAAAACAATATCTATAACTTCTGTCTTGCTGTCTGCCTGCCTTCCTCTCTGCCCTTCCTGCCTGTATGCATGGTACATGAATATATGTGTACATGGAGGTGTAGGTGTATGTGTAACATCCACAGTTGGATACACAACAAGAGCGAATGATAGATAGATAGATAAGATAGACAGATAGGCAGACGGACAGACAGATAGATCGATGAATTTGGCATAGGTAGATGTAGTATAGGTAGAAACCAGCAGGGATGGATGCATGCATGGACATTGATTCGTATCGATACGCAGATCTCTTTCGTGTGTGGGCAACATGGCAAGGCCTAAATCTTCGCCTAAGCGACCCGAGACACTTCCTAGCCACAGTCGCAAACACTGGTGTGGAACACAGGCTCATCATTGCTACTGCAGCATCCTCGAGCTTCAGACTTATGCCAAAGCTGGAAGTGGCATTGCCTACTGTCATCAGGAAGACTGAGAAGTCGTTCGTAGCGTTCCAATGTCGCTTCCTCGGTTCGCAACAGCACCGCTCTGCAGCAACTGCAGCGCCGCTCTGCTCAACTCTGCAGCCGGACACAACGGCCGGTCTCAGGCGGGTGCTTCAACATCTTCGAAAATCAGCGTTGTGTTTGGGTGCCTGGCTCAGAACATGATGTCAGGGAGGGACGGCCAGTTGCGAGGGAAATTGCCAAGTGCGATGTCGGTACGACCTCTCTAGAAGAGCACAGTTATTGCATGCTCAACTTTGCAGACAGAACCAGCCACCAGTAGCCTGCCTTTTCAAAAACCGATGAACCGTTTCCGGCTTCGGCTGCCTCGGTTTGCACATCTCTGAGGCTCTCCCCTCTGGTGTGGGCAAGCCCGGGCTAAGTGCGGCCACGGTGCTTCTGTGGGTCTCGGCTGCAGACGCCGATAACGCGTCCGAGGGGACCCAAAGTGTCCTGCCAAGGAAGCGTCAGTGGCGCACACAGTGAGGCCCTTGTGCTGCCATCCCGCGGCGCTCCGAGATATGGCTCAAGCTCTGGAGCGAGCAGTGGATAGCAAAAACGTTGCTCTTGGGCCTCGGAGTGCCGAAGGCCGAAAGAGGCCGAGGACGAGAGCCGAGCCGAGGAAGCGGCCGAATAGGAAAATGGATGAGCTGGTTGTGGATGGCCGCTGCCAGGGGACCTTTTTGTTACCCGTACTTGTACTGCATTTCTTGTGCAACCTGACAAAAGCTCATGTCTGTCGGGCTCCCGCATCGCGAAGGGTCCCATGGCCGCAGCGTCGTCTTCTGACCACGATAAGTCAAGGTGATTGGGCCTGAGACTCAAGCTGCTCGGCCTCTGAAGGAAATCCTTTCAGTGTCTGGGCCGCCCACAGTTGCCGCTTGGCGCCTGGCATGCGGCACACGAGTTGCAACGTCGCACGGACGGATTCTCGAACAACAGTCCGCGCGGTGGGCCTTCCCTTCACCGGTGTCATTCCAGTCCTTCAACATCCACGGTGGTGTGACGATGTTCCATCATGCGCTTGCAGGCGCTCACAATGATGCAACCAGGGCAGGCACTACCCCCTCTTGCCGTCCCTCCGTCTTGAGACCACATCGATGTCAGACCTACCCTGGTGCACCATGGCCTCGCACTCATCCACAGGTCCTTCCCGGAGTGTGCAGATAACCTGACAGGAAGCCAATCCATGCCCAAAAAACGATTCCAAATCTGTGCTTGGCCGTACCCTCTTCGGCCTGTGCTTGTCTGCTCGTGGAAGGCGAGGATCTCTCCTATCGCGAAGTCGAAAGACGACCAGTGACCAGCCGGCTTCCCAAGTCAGAGGCAACGAATGCGACAACCACAAAAAGCCACAACCTCCCAGGTTCCGAAAATGCGACGCAAGCCGCAAGCCGCGAGCCCTGCTTTGCCTCACTTTCCAGGGAGGGCTTTCCTTGGCATGGGATCATGGAATCTTCACGGGCCGACTGCCACTTGTCATTCATCCCCTCAGCGCATGATGCACTGTTATGCGCCGAGAGAGCAACACGAGCTTAGAGCGAGCTTTTCCGCGGGTTGTCTGGCATGCGTGTTGGCATCCAGGTTGGTACGGTCCCGGCTCCTGCTGCATTCCGAACCTTTTTCGAGCACATCTGTCTGCCTCAGATACGGAGAGCACTGCAAGAGCGAGACGAAGCGGCTTATCAAGCTTGCACCCTCGAGCCTTGCCAGGAGCTATGCACACCCTACAGTGCCAACAGCCTCAAACGCTGTACATGGCTCCACAGAACTAAAGAATCTCTGTGATCTCCTTCTGAGAGGCGGCAGACTCTCATGTGGTGGTCGAGATGCTGACCTGCAACATCCTATCTTGCAGACCTGCTCTTGGTCATGTCATCATGTCACTGGTATGGTCTAGCAGTGAATCCGCAGAGCATTTGCTTGAGAGTGGGAGTCAACAGAAGACGCCTAATACAAAGACGCTCCACTCCACAGCATTGCAACGAAAGCGCCACCCAGCTGGATTGCACAGTTGTGGGTATTTCAATCGCCGAAGCCTCAATCACGGCGTCGACGAAGGTATTGCATTTCAAGTAGCCCTGCACCTGGGTTTTGCATCAGTTCAGTCTCCAATACTGCTTCCAAGCTGAGAGCCGCGCTTGTGTGATGCTGACCTGAACTCGAGCACCCGAGCGCGACACTCATGCAGGCTTAGGCTCGACAGGCTTGGACCAAATCGTGGGCAAAGCACCGCGGCCCCTGCTAAAATTAGAGGAATTAGCATATGCTCCGTAGTAGCCGTTGTGGCTGTTACGGTGCAAGGGCCTCATCAATCTTTCTGAAGCAACTACAGATCGAAAACCACGGCTGCAAGGCAACAAAGGAATTCCACGCTCAACAAGTCTATTGAGCCAGACCTTACTGGATCGAGCGTTCTACAGAACAGTGCCAAGGAGTGAGTGTGGAACTGCTCAAGCCCCACCCGGCATACCCGAAACCGTGCGTGCTAAAACTGTTTCAACATCCGATGTGGAGGACAAGCATCGGGCCCTTACAAGGCCAAAACACTTTCAGAGGATGGCATAACATGTAGGTCCTGCGCTATTTAGGACGGTCTTTTGGGGGTTTATCGAAGCTGAATCCTTCTTCAGCCGTGAAATGCTCAGTACACTGCCCGGAATGGGTCGTTGAAACGTCTTAGCCTCTTCACGCTGTCCATGATGATGCGTCAACTGGCTGGGGTGCATACAGTATGTCTTTAACCAGAAGTGTGGTGGCTGCTTTCTCGTTGCTGCTTTCGTGGCTATGGCAAAACCCTGCGCTGCGGCGTGTGCCAGTACTGAAGTTGCGTTCAAGCACGTGTTGTTTTGAATCGCTGCGCTAGGGAAGGCAGAGCAGGCGGAGGATCATGTCCTATCTCTTCTTCCAGGACCGCTTGGGATATCTGAGGATGAACGAAACAAAGAAACAGAAGGTGACGATGGATAGCATCATGCTGCGTGGGCATGGTGGTACCCATGACTCGGACTCCGATGGTAGGTAGGACAATAAGACGACACGTGCTTAGTTCAGTTTCATTCTGATAAACCCGAAGAGGAACTGACGAAACGAAACTGAACTAACCCCGAAGTCTTGTTCTGTTTCTCTTCTGTTCTTGTTGTTTGCACACCTTAACAAACGTAACATATGCAGACCAGCGTCTGATCCAGATAAAACGTGGTAGTACGAGTTGGCCAGATCCAGAGTAGTGGTTGTAGACGGCCGCCAGCCGTGGCATTCCTGGTGAATGCAGGAAATCCCTTCAGATGCATGCACAAGCTTTCCCCGTGAACGGATGAAAGTTGTTTCCTGAACGGATGAAAGTTGGTACGTCATCGGCATATCGGCATATCTCTTGGAAGCACCTATCTACCTCAAGTACCAACCCAGCAACCAACCTTTGAAATTCTGGAAACTCAGTAAGTAGCTACTACACGTGTGCTGTACTTGCTTATCAACGTATCAGTCTCAGAGTCTCTCTCCTCACTGGGCCTAAACTCTAAACCCTTCATAGCTTTAGCAGCTGTGGTTCAAGATCCCGAGCTGGGCACTCCGGTCCTGAGCTCCTTTCAGGTGCTTCCCTCTGCAAGCGCCGCCGCTTTTATCAAGAGGGACCGCTGGAAACTTAGAGTCAGAGCACAGAAAAGCCGAAAGCAAGAAATTTTAGCAGATTTCTTAGGCACACAAACACTCTCCGAGGCTTCGTGAAAGCAAGAAAGTGTTGCAGCAGAGTGTTCGCTGCAGTTCTGGCCCGAGGTGCTGTGTAGCTCATGATGTGTTGGGGCGTGGCTGCATCCTCGAGAGAAACTGTCTCTGGACAAAACATGACAAAATGAGGTGAAGGTTAAACCACTTGTAAGCCCCTTTGAAGAGGCAGTGAGGCAGTCGTGACATCAGGACTGTCAACTGCCCTTTCGCTGCGGGTCCCAAGACTTCTTCCACTGGACTGAACAGTTGGGCTGATTGAAAATCATCGTCATGTTCGCACCTTAGCATGACAAAGCAAGGGCTCCTCTTCTCTTGCAACGAAAGTTGATTTGCCACCTTCTCATTTCTGGCAGGATGCGTGGAATGGAGTCCCCAGAGGCCATGCCGACGCCTTGTGCTGTGCACATGCCAGGATTCTGATGCGCTGAGGGTCGGAATTCCCTCTGTGGAGCAGGAACTTGTCTGTAATGCCCTTGCTAGACACTATGCTCTCCCCTTTGCATCCAGGCATCCGGATCCCACAGCATGTACCTGAAACAGACTGACACGGGGCAGCTTGAGCAGCGGATCTGGAGCAGTTAAAGACCTCTGCCGCCAAGCCGCAGAGCAGTGTAGGGCGTGCTGCCCTGTGTTGCGGCAGTGCAGGTCGGTGGTAGTGACTGAGCCATCAGCAACATGGATAACGACGTCCTCGAAGTACAGGGTAAAGAAGAGCACACCAACCATGGGCACTGTATCCGAACGACCCAGCCCCCCACATCAAAAAAACAACACGGCCGACTGAGTTGCTGAGCTGACAAAGCTGGGTCCACCGTGGTTCTCGACTGCTCTTGATTCTATACTGTACTCAAATTACGAGGAGCGTCTGTCTGAGGGCCGGGCCAGGTCCACGTTTGTTACGTGCTGAAAGTCCACATAAACCTGGGCGCAAAAGCAACAGCTTTGCGTGGGGCGGAATGGGCCTGGGCAGCGGCTTTCTGCTAGGCCCCCCGCCTCTGCCTCTTCGCCCACGAAGCCTTTGAAGGAATTACAGCGCATGAGGCCTGACAAGCATCTGAGGATGCTTGTTACAGAGGCGGCACTAGCTGCACTGGCTCGTGGGCAACGGCCCTTGAACTCCTTGCCGGAGCCACGACAAAGAGTGACTATCTTGTGCGAGCTTTGTGCCATTCGGTCGGGGAGGTCTAGAATACGTAGAGGGCATGTGGCGTGCGCGGCGACTCTTGCAGGTTTCGATCCATCTAGGTCCGAACATATGAGCGTCCAGTCACGACCAAACAAACCCTGCCTTTTAAATGGACGAATTTGTCCCCTTCATAGATGCCCTGCATGAGAAGCAAGTCGCGCCAATAGTCCAGATCGATTTCGAACGTCCTTATTAAATTTTTACGCCCTCAGTGCTCTCGCACGGTCACAGGCATGGTCTCGAGTCTCAGCAAGCAGGGTTCAGTTGTGCCACGCTCCAAAGGTAGGCTTTCTCTACGCTATTGTTGAGGCCCCGAGGGTTCAGAGATGCCAAGGGTTCACGGCCGCTGCACGGAAGAAGACTGCCCGACGCCAAGAGTTGTTCAAGTGCCAGGAGCTCAGCAAAATGGTCCATCGAAACTCCTACATGCTTAAGGTAGCTTGCAGCTCCGCTGCCGGGTAGGGAGAAAGCCACTGCCGTCGGAACATCCCTCGGCATATGGGGCTCCTCGGATAAATCTAGCCGGCGGCAACTGAATGCTAACAGGTCGGGCGCCGCAACCACTGGTTGACCCGCTTCAAGTTCCATTTTCAGGACCGTACTCACAATGAGAGATCTTGGAGACTTGCAGGCCGCACAAGGCCCAAAATTGTGCTTGGCCGTGGCGTCCCTGTTTCCCTTCGGCCGAGTAGCTCTTGCAAACCCTCTTGTCAATCTCGAGGGCCTGCCGGCACTTCAGACGTTTCGAATGATGACACTGCTTCTCCAAACGCTCCTTCAAACAAACTCTCAGATGCTACGAGCAGTGACATGGCTCTTGGAGATCTCATCGGGTCCTGCCTTCATGGGAACAATGCCGTCCGCCCTGGACTCCACCTGTCGGTGTCAAGGAAGGCTGGCAGTCCATCATCCCACCCTGCCCTTCGCCAAAACAAACAGCTGCTAAGCCACTAAGCCATTATTCGCAGTGCTGTGTGTTGCTATGCTAACGAAAGCCATGCCGGAGCTTCAACCGACTCGTGAAGCGGCCAACAAAGAAAGGGGTGGCCTCCATGGACTCGACACCACAGTCCGTGTCAGCAGAGACAACTGTCAGTTGCCTCAGCTGATCACGCTGAGAAAGGCCGTCGGAGTGTGCGGACAAGCAGCATCGTCTTCTGGGTTTTGAATGCAGCACTGTCCTTGAACACATATAGTCATATAGTGACATACAGTTCAGCACCGGTGCAATAGGATTTGCAGCTGGGATTCGAATATCGTTGCAGTCCATCGTTCCTTTTCGTGGCCATATATAAAGGAGGATGCTGTCACATCGCCCGACATCAGGTGGAAGCCTAGCATTGTGAACCTTAAGGGCAGTCCAACAGCCAAGCGGCCCGGTGCAGGAGAGTGCAACAGTTGAACAGAATCCTAGAACCAATGGCGGCGGGGACTGTTCAATCCCAAGGACGGATGTGCACCACCAGGAAGGAAGCGCATGTCGGTGACCCGGTAGAAGTTTGTCGCATCTACCTGGGACGGGCTGCCCATTGCCGTCTGCAGGCTTAGCTGAAAAAGCGACCTGACATCTGGCTCGAATGTTCTGAGGCTGTCACCATCGAGATCCTAAAGGTTGCACTCCCTCCCCTGAACCTTCTTGTCCAGGACACGATTGGCAAGGTGGTGCGACCCACGTTGACCGATAATTTCACCTCAGGCACAGAGACTTTCGGCGGTGCTCCACCTACTACAACATGCACCGAAGGCTTCTAAACGTTCAAATTAGGGGCTTCATAGCCCGCTGCATCATCCAAGGAATCGCCAGTCCTTCAAGTTTCCAGTGGCTGATGAGCAATGCCCGCTTTCGCTGTACCCACAAGCCCGTCCCTGCCAAATGACAAGCGTCGAGAGGTTGAAGAAGCTCAACACTGGGCTGCCTCGCCGAACGGAGTGACAGACCTGCTCCTTCTCGGAGCCTGGGATGGAGTGTACAGGCTCATCTGTAGATCTGGGATTTGTGTTCTAGTAAGTCCGAGAAGCACAGCTCGGCGGTGAGCCTCAAGCGTGTCTGACACCAAAAAGACATCCCCCCGTCAATTCGTCTCTTGGCAGAGAGCTCCGGGCTCCGGGCTTGGCAGAGCGAAGCTGCAGGAAGTGCCTCGCCTCGTCCTGGCCAGCAATCCCACCTCGGAGCAGGGTTAAATGAGTCCCCTGATATATGGGTTATCAGTATACTCAGTATACTTACCGTATACTTATAACCCCACGAAGAACTATACACATGAACCTCCGATCTGAAGCCAGGCAGCAGCTGCTCCAAAGGGGCTGGTAAACTGCATAACAGCCAGCAAGCGTGTGATGCGCGACCTCGGCGCGGGATGGGACGGATGGGTTCATTGCGGGAGCCGGCTTCAGTGCTTAGGACGGAGCAGCAGAGAACGGTTCGGACATTTGCAGCTTGTCACACTCCTTCCAGCTCTGGGTTCGCTCGTCTCCAAAACTCTTCCAAACCGCTCCACACCTGACCTGTTTCGTCATGTTGGGCATGAAATGCGTGGTGAAGCGACCATAGCGCTGATTCTCCGGAATGCCCATGACGAAATGGGCCATCCTTTGCCACATACCGTTCGATGTCAGCGGATGCGTTGACACTGTGTTAACCGATCGAATGTTCACTTTTGCTTGATGGAGTCGTCGGAAGAACAGGACAAATATTCGGCCCGGTTCTGCTGATCGCCAGATGCCAAAGCACTCACATGGGTATGACTTACGCGTGCGACTTGAAATGCTACCGTCGATTCGATATGTTCATGTCGACGGTCTCGATCTCCAGTGGTACGTTGATCCAGGGGCCTTGGCTTCTGATACTGCTGTCGTGCACGTGAGCAATGCCTGACTACCCGCAGAAGAAGAGAAACCCAAATCCTGGCCTCTGAGCCCACACGGCTTGCTGCAATGCCGCCCAGTAACGTGACCACAGATATCCCCAAGGGATGCATCGGTGGAAGAGTCTGCCACCATCAGCCCGACCGGTAATGGTCACAGATTCAGGAAGGAAGCCTGCCAGGACTGAATCTTGTTGCGGTTTCACAGTGCAGAGTGGAGTTTGTGATCTGGCGACGGGTGACCATGGATGACACCAACAGAAGCTACTAGCATGCCGCTCGCATCGACCCTGCCTGATTTGAGGATTTGCACCTTGTAGGAGTTGTGTGCAGTTGTATCCCAAGCATCAATCTTGATGTTGTAGGGATAGTGCTCCTGACAGGTAAGGAGGGAATCCAGCAAAACCAGGAGATGCCATGCAATGTTGCATTTGGCATGCAGATTCAGGGAGCCAATAGTTTGGTTGAGACTGCGATGGATCTATGCTATTACGAAGTACAGCCTCCGTGGACATGTATGTGCTGATCACACTGGAAAAGGAGGTGAACTCGCACTCGCGCTCGAGCGTGCCTATGGTTGGGGATCTCAACTTCTCGAGGCAGTTGAGAGATGACCCAGGAAGTGAAGAGTTGCGCGTGCCTTGTCCAGAGTGACAGCTTTGGCAATGCTGCTTCCCCAGGTCCACTGCGACGGTACCCCGGGCTCCGAGGAGTCGTGCCTGAGAGTTACGATGGAATCCAGTCTCGGATGGATGAACTCAGCCATCGTGGCTGCTGGTGCTAAGCGACTGAAATCCCAAGTGAAGCCCGTAGGCGGCACCTATCTCGACGTGGCTGATAAGAACATCTCAGTGATTTTTTGAATATGCTGAGACAATGAATCCCGCCGCATGCCAGCAACTCAACACTTTCAGGCCGTAATTTAGCGCCGCGTTGCATTGCCAGCTCCGTGACATCCTTCGGGTTTGCCTGGTTCTGCTCTCTTTTCCTTCACTCCATTGAACAAGCCGGCTATGCAGCTCCATTTCGCTCTTTTCTTTCGTAAGGGTACAGGGAGGGGGAGCGACCAGTTCGCTCTCTGTGTCTCTCTGTCTTTCTCTCTCTGCACTTTTGAACGACGCCCGTGCAAGTCAATCAGTCAAGCTTGTGTGTTGAGAACTATGAGCCATCAGAAAACTGATTGCTCTGACCGCCCGACTATCAGACTGTGACGGCCGTGCACTTGGGGTTTAGTTAGGTGCAATGCGCAGTGCAACTTTGTCTGAATCTCTCCAACAGTCTCTGAATTGCAACTTCGAGACAGTTGTGGCTCAAGAAAGATCGAACCAAACTACAAATCAAGTCTGTTCAGACCATGCCAACAGCGAGAAAGTGCCTTGGTGCCCTAGACGCCAAGTCGTTGGCAAGAGCAATCAGCCCGCCTGTGCGGTGACGGAAATCATCGATTGCATTCGGTCAACCAGGATGTTGTAGTCCTTTGGCACACACTTCATGGCCGTCTCATGGATGTTGGCTGCAGCCGTCAGTCCGAGCCAAACTTGTCAGACATCCAAACGCCCTCTGCTGCGTTTTTTGGGCTTTACCGTCCAAGCAGCATTCACGTGCCTTGCGAAGGGGCTCGACAGCGATCCTGCGGATTGCAACGGAATTCCAGATCTGCAAACACTTTTTGGCCTGGACCAGCCTCCAGCAAAACGCTCCATGCGCACATGTCGTGGCAGCTCCTCCTATGACCTGCAGATCTTCGAGCATCGGCTGATGAAGCCTTAATTTCTGCAAGGGCTGACATGCTTGTGTGTAGAGTTGGTAGGGGAAGTTTGGTGGAAGGTTGCACTCTTGGGCCAATGGTTGGCACTCGGTCAGCCAAGTAAAACCTACAATATCGACACCAGCCGAGGCCCTGGCAAGATCCGCAAACCCAAATAGCACGTCAGCACGGCCAGGCCTAGGGCAGACCGTCACGGCTGTCTCGGCTCGTGTTGCCAGTCAAGGCATCCTCACCCTATCGGCCACTCCAACTACGAACTTGCAAACGACGCTTCAGTCGATAGCCTGTCATAAGCTGAGCCGCACAGAAATGTTAGAGCCTGCAAAGGGTCGAAGAGCAGCAACAGCAGCTTTTTGGCACCCGTCCTAACATGACGGGTGGACCCTCGCAGCACACTCCCACACGCTCCCAAATCTCCCAGTGTCTGCCAGGCGACGCGCGCCGTCCCAGTAGGCGGCCAAGCCAGGCGAGATCAAGAACCCTGAAGCCATCCGATGTCAATGTAGCCCTCTCCATATCTGATGTGCCTTCATCAATGATGCCTTCACGGGAAATCTCGGCACGTCGCCGGGCGAAAGAACAAAATGCACCTTATGAGACCAGCTTCAGAAGCCTGCGGCCTCGTCGCGAATCTCAAAACGCTCTGTTATCCCCTGGCACCCTGTTGCTTTAAGCCCAGCTGCCGTCCGACATGCACACCATGTTTCCTCCGATCTGTATCGGCTCCTTGGGCTCGTGTCCGAGGGGTCCATGTCAGTCGGAAGTCTGATAGAACATCCCCGAGACCATGGGATGGGCCGAGTTTCAGCATCTGAGACCTGCAAGGCAACTGTACAGTGTTGATTGCACACCGCGAACTCGGCGTGGAGGATGTCCAGGATCGAGGATGTCATGTAATACCTGGAGTGCAGGTCTAAGCATGGAGCACGATGATGACTGTGGTTTAGGTAGAGGCACATCACTGTCGAAATGATTCAATCGGAACCACCATCACAGCACAAACTGGCGACAAGTGGCAAAGGAGACATCATCACGAGCAAGGCTTTCAGCCCCTGCGACTTTCGAAGTTTCAGCATGGAACGGTCGTTGAGCCCAGACACGCTCACAAAGAAAAAGAGTGGTGCCCAGCGTCCTGACCAAAGTGGAGCGAGCCCATGAACATGACCTGAAAGGCTTTGCCTGAAGCCCAAAGCAGCTCAATGCCTTTTGGCGCAAGACTCTCTGCGCAGACAGTGTCTGAGCATGCAGCCGATGCAGATCGCGACCCCCAGCCACACCCACAGTAACGCTGGTTCGAAATAGGACGGCTCATGCCTGCGCAGGTCCGAAGCTCCCTTCGAAGCACTAGTATCGTGTCACACACACACGCGAGCAGATGATACTTTCACAGAGCAGATTAAGAAGCAGGACTCCGATAAGAGAGATGGGGATGCAAACATACCCATTCATACACACGCACGAACGCACATCGCTTCGTATCGCATCGGATCGATGAGTGAACTTACGCATGTATGTACATAGGTCTGTATACGTGTGTGTGTGTGTGTGTGTGTACGTCTGTGTGTATATGTGCATAGAAAAGTTTCTACATTTTTGCGATCATTCACTCACGCACCTTCATGCACGAAGACATGCATGACACATGCAATCATATATGCATGCATACATGGAACCAAGCAACAGTTGGCCGGCCAGCCAGCCAGCCAGGCACGAACACACACGCGCATACACGCACGCACACACATACACACACACACATAAACCTACATACATACATACATACATACATACATACATAGATACATACATACATACATACATACACACACACACACACTTACTTACTGCATATATGCATCCATGCATCCATCCATGCATCCATCCATCCTTCCGTCCATACATACATGCAGACATGCGTGCATGTGAAATATATATTATGTACAATAACGATATATGAGGCATGGACAGCAGTGTCAGCTGCATCGAAGGAGCTTGAATTTCAGCAGGATTCCATCTCGAAGCGCGGCCTTGTCAGGTAGCTTTGCGCTTTGGCTGTGTGTTCACCTGCCCGGCCAGTGTGTGTCGTCAGAATCGCATGTTCCGGTCTATGTACTTCTTTAGGGTGAAGTGGCTTAGCTGCATTGTCAGGCTCAGCTTAAAGCCCGTGACCTGCTTTTGGGGTTTTGGATGTGGCCTGGTTCAGCAGGCTTATCATTCGAACTTGAGTATTCTTGGGTTGTTTCGGGTACCAAGGGCTCTGGGTTTAGAGCAATTGTATCCACTCGAAGTAGTGTTCGTACACTCGAGCAGGACCCCCCGAAGCCCGAACATCTTGCCAGGCGACGTAATACAATTGACATCGAGCAGTGGCCAAGAAAATCCGCATGACTGCCTCGACAGTGCTGCACATGAAGGACAGACTAGTCTTGGGGACACTGCATGCCGCTCCTGTGGAAAATCGATATGCTGCATCCCTTCCCTTCCCAATGTACTCCTCGATCCAAGACACCACGCTGCCAAACAGCAAGGGAAAGACCAGCACAAAGATGAAGCCTCAAATCTGGAGTGTACATCGAGCTACTCGGTAGTCATCCGTCCGAACCTGCCTAATTCCCACCAATGCCGCCAGTTTTAAGGAGCAGATGCACTTTCCTGGTATCGGACTGGGCCAAATAGCTTCGAAGCCAAGCAGCCAGACAGATCTGGGTCCTGCCCCTCGCTCGTGCGATCCTGAGCAGCTTGAGGCTTGAGAGGACCCCGAAACCGGCCATGAGACGCGGAACTTTGGCTTTGGGTCCTCGTGGTTCTGACGGCGAAAGAACCGCTCTCCTTCGACCACCTGCATCGCACTTGCTCGCTTGCACATTCCATGTGAGCGACTCATTTGCTGCAGGCAGGATGCAAAAAGAGCGCAGCCCAAAACAAAGAAGAGCACGTCGATTGCACCCTGCAGGAGTATGTCCTCGGCGAGATCAGATCCGCGCACACACCCAATCACGCACACACACACACACTCGCACAATCATGACCCTTTCACTCACGCACTCACTCACTCACTCACATACATAAATCACAGTGACTGTGCAAGTCAGTCAGTCGGTCAGTCAGTCAAGTCAACAAGTGAGCAAGCGAGTGAGTGAGCGAGTGTGTTCAGCTCTGTGTGTGGGTGTCTCTGCATGCGCACGTGCTTGTCTGCCTGTCTATCTGTCTCCGTCAGATGGTCTTTGTCTACTAGAGTGGATCTAATCTAGCATAAACTGCTATAGTCCAACAAAGGCAGGGCGCCATGGAGCTTGGCAGGCGAAGGTTTGGGTCGCTGACCTGTGCTCGGTCCAGAAGAGACTTAGGAGAGAAGGAAGGAATCATACTCAAGACTTTAGAACAACCTTTGCTGGCGGGTTTGAATAAAATACATGCCGATTAACTACCATTTAGGCTAGGCAGGATGTTCATCGGACTCTTCTGTTCATTTGTTTTGACTTCGTGCCGTGACACGACATGGCTGGAACCGGACTCACGAACCTTTACATATCTGCTTGTAGACAACCCTATAGCTGCGGTAGCTGAACAGAGGCTTGAAACAACCTCCAATCGGTTCTCTAGTCCAAATGCATGCAAGCAGATTCATCGCAAATCTGGGAACGGCTTCGTTTGAGACTGAGACTCTTGTAACATCATCAGGCCTGCTGCATGCGTCCCGAATTGCCAGCCAATGAGCAATCATGTGACCAAGTTTGACGAACCCCAAAGATCCCGACGACACCGCCGCATTCAGAAGCTTGGCAGAGCTCTTAGCTATCACGGATTTCAGAGGATGCCAACTGCATCTCCCGTGTTGCTATTCTCTCCAAAGCCTACTAAATAATGTCTGGTGGGAAAGGATTAGAATCTAGTGGGGGGCACAGCAGTAGCGCGACAACCCCCTCGTTCTGCGGGCGCGAATAGGTTGCGATGCAAGCATCGAACGAGTGATACAGGGATACTGTCGATGGATAATAAATACTATACCTACCCACGATATCGCCACGAATACTTGCCATCGATACTCCCTAGACGATGCATATGTACAACGCCAGCAAAGGACTCTCAACTTGATGGTCATTCATCCCGCAACTACCGGAGCCACATCCCCAACTCCAAGTAGACTTCTGGTGAAAATCCGAAGTCAAGAAGCACGCGCCGCTACCAAGACTGCCGTCAGTATGTGGATCGCAGTGGACTTGCATATAGTCTGTCATATAGGATCAGTAGATCACCATTCAAGCACTTCTGTCACTTCTGTCGATCCAACCCAGCCCACCAGACCAGCGAAAGGAATTGCAGTACTTCAGCGCAGTCACGACACAAAACGTACTTTCAGGGGCCGCGAAGGCCGATCATCGGAATTGAAAACAGATGCTAAGTGCTCCCTCGGGACATGCTCCTCAGAGGTCAGTTCCCAGCCGCCCGCGAGACTGTCACGCAGGAGTAGTGCGAACCAGACTACCTGCTGAAGGTCGTGGACTTGATACAAACTCGGAGGCCCTGTCTGCAGCAGCTTCTGCCGAGCTGCCATGCCCACCAAAGAGGCCAAGGCCAGAAGAAGCAAGGCATCGAGAAGGAGCCTCAGTTCTAACCTTCTGACTTAGCAGAGGTGTCGATCGCATAGCAGCGAAGGAACAAGGGCTGACCCGCTCCTAGAGTCAACCCTGTTGCAGTCAGGAAGCCGCATCGAATGCGGCCTCAGCGCCACCCAATAAGGAATTTCCCTCTGCAAGGTCTGTGGATGAACAAGACTGAGTAGAGACGGACCTTGACCTCCAAGCACCAAAGTCCTTTCCCTAATTCTGGGTTGTAGACGCTGACAGAGGTACTGAGCGATTGGGATGAGAGCATGATTCACAAGCCGCTATGTAGACCTGCAGTGCAGCAGAGAGGCAGGTTGCGGATGCCTTTCCAGATATCCGGATTTACCACTACACCCAGAATATCACTGATCCTGGCATCCTCTTTTGCACCTCAAAGCACGGCGGACATGGACTTCTCGCTGTGCTGCACTGGCTCCAGCATCAGCCCAGGGGCGGAAACTCAGTGATGCGGCGCATTCCCCGGCTCGGCTGCAGATGAAGAGACGCGAATCTTCTGGCAAAGGGCTTAATCATGTGCAATCCGAGCCCCAAGTGAAGTCCGTACAAGTCACTAGTCAGGCTACAGTATCGAGCAATCCACCCTCATTGATGCCAAGGCCAAAACCCTCGCGCTGCGGCTAGAAGAGTTCGTTCCTTGCTACTTCGGTCCATTGCTGGGGCAGGGCCGTCCTAACCACCCTAATGTGCAGTCCTCCCGCGGCAGCTCTCGCTTCTGCGTCTCCCGTCTCGTTGATGACCCTTACTCGCTGGAAGTGAGACGAAAGGACCCTGAAGATATGAAAGGAGTTGAAAGGAGTCTACAGCAACTTCAGCTGTTCAACTTGCAGCCAGGAGGCACGGAAACCTTAGAAGCCTCTGGAGAGACGGCATTGACCACCGGGAGCAAGGATGCAGTGCCCAACTTGGCTGAACGAAAACTGACTCTACAGTCTACAGTAGGAGTTCCGCTCTCCAATCACGAGCCATCCTCGGTCTATATATCGGACAGGTCACGTCGGGACCCTCACACTTCTCAGAGGCCTTGAGAATCCAGTCTTGCCAAAGGGAGAAGTTGCGCAAGTCCTGTCAACTGGCTCCACTTCTGCGTTGTCTCACTACAGGCTGGGCGAGGGTGCTCCTTCGCATCAAGCTGAAACCGATGACGAGAAGTCTCAGTCAGAGATGTTTCGGTGAGTACAGTTACGCGAGATTCCACACAAGGATGATGCCCGGGGCTCACGCTGAGAATCCCTCTGCCTCAGGGCAAGCGCCTCCTGCACCGGCACCTGTGCTCTGCAGCTCCCCTACCAGTACGAGTTCTGACAGACTCTCTTCTCTGGGTATGCCGATATCGCCCACCTTGTGCTGAAGAATCCGGATTTGCTACATCAGTTCGGAAAGCAGCTGCCCATCGATCTGCTAGGCCTTGCAGACAAGAAATTCAACGTGCGAGTGCGCTATTTCGGCGTCGGCTCTGCCAGAATTAATAGATTGCAGCTGAGAGGCTTGACAGCAGAAGGGCAGCCCAAAGCATCATCGCCAGATCATGGCAAGCCGAGGACTGAATTTGGCCGTCGACGGAAGTGCTTGCCCAGGGGTGTTGGGGGGGGGAGTTCAAATCAGTGGAAATGAGAAAAGCGGATAAGCTTACCATACCCCATGACTGCCCCGCAAGGCCTGGAGACATGGTGAAGAGGCGTCGGACGCAGGCAACGGTGCAGAAAACGTGGCTTTTATTTACGACAACGCAGCACGGAACACACACACACACACACACAAGCGCCGTCTGAAAAGCTCCAGTGCTGAGGCCGTCCACGAATCTGGCCGACCATGACGACATAGATGCCCTTCAGGTGGTGCCTTGCAGAAGACTCGGTGGGTGACATCTGCGATTGGCACAATCCGACGCACCTGGAGATGTCGATTCCATATCGGAAAACCTGAATCCTGAGTAGCCGCACGGCACGGACACTGCACTGGTGAAAGGAAGCTATCAACCGACACCAGCTTGGTCTGAAGCATCGCGCTTCCACCATGTGGGCACCAAGGTTGAAATGCCGAACGTCGAAGCCGAAACCCAAGTTAGTGTTTGAGCTGCGGGTTGCACTGTATCTTGCACTCTGAAGATAGTGAAGTGCCCCTTTGTCATTTAACAGTGATGTGGAAAAACAGTGGCGCAAGCTCACAAGAGGAAGGTGGCTGGCAGGTTTGCTGACACTAGGAAGGCAGAGTTCTCACCGTCTCACCGTTCAGACGTGCGTTGTTTTGAGCCGGTTGCCGGATGCGAGTTCACGCAGCATGGCGAGTAGCAAGTGCTTGTCCCCCTGCCCATGGAAACCATCTGTCAACAGATACCCAAGACGGGGAGGACTCTACGTGTAGCCTGTGGGGAAGTGCCGCAGCTGTGTAAATATGTCACCGGCCTCGGCATGCGAGTTCGATGGACTTGTTTTCGCATCTCCAGGAATGCGGCAAGTTGCTCCACTCTGCCGGCACATCTCTTCATGCGTGCTCCACCACGCCTGCCGAGACAAGCTCAGACGAATGCAGGCCTGCAGGCTACCCTTTACCAGTCACGGGGCATTCTGGAACAGCTCATGAGCCTGATCCCAGGCCGAGCGGGCCGCCGGGAGATGTCGTTGCCAAGGCTTTCGCTGCAGACCCGGCCAGTGGAGGATCTGTCGGCCCGGCAACCGGTTCAGAAGAGCTGCTGGGTCGAGGCGTTAAAGTGACCTGCTGGGTTCCGTGCCCTGGGCCGCAGATGGAGCTGCCGTTGCAGCCAGGATGCTGTAATGTTTTCCGCCTTCCAGGAAGCTCTGCCCCAAAAAGGGCCGATCCCGCCCGTGGTGCAGAAGGCCGAAGGCCTCCGGCGTGCCCCGCAGCAGCGCGTCTTCGAGGGCGGCAGAAGTCTGATCCAATGGCAGGTGAGGCTGCGTCTGCAACAAAGCCTCTTAAAAGGCAAGTACCCAAGCAGGTGTCGTCGATGGTCTAGTTACAACCGAGTTCTGCGAAATCGATCTATCGGCTTCATTCGTTTAACGACTTTCACTGGTTGCATTCCTGCTCTGAGCTTGGCGCCATCCAGAAGACCTCAGCAGCTTGCAGATGTTCGCAGGAATGGAGGCTGTGCACATCCTCGCACCAACAGCTACTGCTTCAACGGAGAACGACGGCTCTGATCGTTCCCCTCAGGCTGTCGCAGGGCTGAATCTCTGAGGCTTCGGGCGTGCGGAAAGTCGGCTTGGAAGTGAAAATCCAGCGGAAGCCGGCAGTGATCGAGATTCGTCAACTTCGAGGGAGGGATCAAGTCCTGTGAAGGCTCGTGAGATCGCAGGTGCGCGTTTGTGACAGCCGAGGGATGGCTCGAGGCTCCTCCTCCATCCGTATTGGAGCCCACACGGTTCCAGCCTGCGGAATCACAGCAGTCGGCAGTCATGAAGCTTTCGTTTTTTTTCTCAAATGGCTGGGCCCAAGACTCGTCCAAGCTCTGCCTTGGCTGAGCAGCCTGGTCACAGCACGGAGAAGTGCAGGAATTGGCAGGAACTATTCTGCCTCGGAAGTGGCCATCCGCATCCCAAAAGGCAAAGCCACGACGGTCCGACGCCTGTCAAGGCATGTCGAGTAATCTCAGCGCGGCTTGTCTCTTGCCACGTGCTCAACTTGTGATTTCGCGCCCCCCCCCCGGGCAGCACAAGATGTCGATTTTCCCGTCTGCAATGTTCCAAAATGGCCGTTGCCGCTCTGGGATCGTCGCAGGTCACTTCGGTGACTGCAGTCGGACCAGGGGGGGTTCCCACGCAATCCTCACATGGTACTTCGGTGACTGCTGCCGGCACCAGACGGCGCTCGAGTCCAGATACGGAGTCGGCGTCTCTTGGAAGATCGCGCTTCGTCTTAGTACCTTTCGGCAACCATCTTCAAGCAAAGCGCTGAAGTTCAAGCGGTCGCTGATCGCTGAGCAGCAAACCAGGGCCGCATTCACCCAGCTACAAATACCTTCCCCGGCACCCATGTGCAGCTTGATGACTTTGAAACATCTGTGACTTTGCAACGTTCACACACGTAAGACCCCTCCCCTGTACCTCGCTAGCCACGCCAATGGGCTCAGCAGCAAAAGCGGAGGCATCCTGCCACAGGTCGTGTTCTGAAACAGCTCCCAGTCTACGAGTCTACGAACAGAGTGCTCACTTCTTGATGCAACGGCAGTGTTGCCACATCCAGCTTCAACCGCAAGAGGCCCGAGACTGTCAGAGGTCGCCTTGTTCCGAAAGCTCCGCTCTTCGCAGTAGTGGTGGTGGTTGTCGCCTCTGACACAAAGGACCGTGAGCTAGCGTGCTTGAAGTTGGGTGCAACTTGTATCAGCCCAGCGGTTTTGCTTCAGTCTCTTTGTCGAGAACAAGTGCCGATGATGGGCTTGCTGCTGCAGGCGGTGCGCATGACGGGAGTTTTATCCAAGGGGCCGTTGGTGTGAACTCGGGCATGTTACAGAGTTACAGTGCATACCATACGCGATAGTGTGCTTCGAAGAACACGGCTGCTTGACGAGACGTGTCCAACAGGGGGCGCATTGGCTACGATATGGTCGCGTCTCTGATGCTGAACAGGAAGTGCCTTCTCTGATGGTTGCTGTCCTGGAGCCTGTCTCTGAGATCCCGACACAGCATTCGTCGCTCGTGCACTCTTCGCCTGGCCAAACTCCGGCAAAGCCGTAAAACCAGTAAAACTAGACCAGATCGGTGTGCTCCGGCTGCTGCTTCAGGAGCTGCCGCCGCATGCATCCGTGAAATTGTGAGAACTGTGTCGTGCTCGCGTGATGCTACCCCAGCTGGGCGAGAAGCTGCTGCCATGCACAAACGGGCCCGCGGCCTTCGCAGAACTCTGGCAGGCCCTGGCGAAACCGGCTACAGTAGTCGCGTTGTTCGCTGCACTGCTACCGGCAAAAGCCCACATGAGGCTGCTGTCCAAAACTCTGCATGCGAGTCCTCTTCCTTCAGAATTTCACCGTCCGAGCACACGTCTTTGTCGCAGGTCACCGGCAGAATCTGCAGAATGACACGGAAGGCAAGGGGAGTATCGTTAAGAGACTTCTAGCAAAGACAGGATGCTCAAGGGCTTACAAGGAAGGCGAAGGCTACAAATCTGCGAGCCTCGATCTTGGTCTTGAAGTTCTGCGAGCAGGAAAAGGCATCGAGCATTCGGTTCAGAAGTTGGAGCCCAGAGGAGACTCCGGCTCTCTTTCTTTCTTTCTTTCTGCAGGGCTTAAGGGTCGCGCGAGCGCCCCCAGGCCTTCGGCCCGCCCAGCCACACCCTGTGTTTATGGAGTGGCTGGTAAAGGGGTCTTTCCAGATAAGGCATCGAAACACCCAGTATGTTCAGGGTTTTCGCGCAAAAAAGCCCCCCCGAACACTAAACGCCAAAACAACCCAGGCCTCGTCTCCGCGCCCCTGTGGCTGTAAGTCCTTAGCCCTTAGTAGGTTCAAGGGGGCAAGAAAAAGCCGGATGAATTTGGTCCCCCCTTTGCTCTCACACAGCAAGGGTGGATGTCGAATTATTGTAGGAGGGCGGATCGGACTTCGTCAGGCGACGGTGTGCAGCGAATTGTAAAAGGGCGGAAGAGATTCGCCAAATCATGGCAAAGTTCTGCAGAGAAGTCAAAATGGACAGGTATGTTACAGAAAACGTGCTAGCATGCATTCCCCCGGCTGGGTTCGCGAAAGGAGAAATCCCCCACTTAGTGGGTTTTTTGCGTGACCTTTACAGCAAGTCAAGGAGAAAGGGGAGGGGCCGTTCGACTCAGCAACAGAACCCCCGAAACAGGTACCCCAACAAAACCAAGCAACTCTCCTCTCCCCTCTGGCTCCGGACATGACTGAAGCACTGCACAAAAAACGGCCTTGTTAGTTTGGGGCCTTAGCAAGTCAGGAAAAAAGCCGTGCTCACTTTTGCTTCGCTCACTCAGCTGCCTGTCTTTGCCGTGCCATGTGGTCTTGGACCTGCTGGATCTGGCTTTGCACATTGGGCACCAGCTCCACCGGGCGTCCCCTCCTTGTTGGGCGCTCCCCCTCCACATCGCCAGGTCGGTCTTCATGAAGACGTTCTGCTGGCTGTCCCCTCCCTATGGGAGGCCTGTCCACAGGTTCGCTGGGTCGTTCTCCGAGAAGGCGGCGGCGTTTGGGCTCCCCCGCGGGTTCCCTTGGTCGTCGTCGGTTTGGTGGCTCCCCCACGGGTTCGCTGGGCCTTTGTGGGTCGTTGGCTCTGTCTGACGGCCTGCCTTCAGGACCCCATGGCCACTGGTCATCTCCCCCTTCACGGTGTACTGGGTCGTTGTCTGCGCCTTTCTTCCACGGCTCCTGTCCCTCTTCCGCGATGGCCTCCTTGGCTGGGCTCTCATCTGTACTCCCCCAGTCCGGTGGTGTGTCTGAGTCACTGGGCTCTCTTTTCACATGGCCTCGCGGTTCCCCCACATTGGCTTCCATTGGCATTGCAGGTTGCACTGAAGGTGCGGGGCCTGTTGGTCCCCCCTTTGCCTTCCGTGCTTTGCGCCTCCGCATCTGCATCTTGCGTCGTATCCCCCAGGCCTTGACCAAGAGCTCCGGCACCTTCTCTGGGAAGGTCATCGTGAAAACTCTGTTTTCTGCCGCCACACGCGGCAGCCATTTGTCGACTATACGTACAAGGCGGTCGGCCTGGTAGCCAAGGCGGATCCTGTGGGCCAGTCTCGCCTGATAGGCGGCATAGTCCCCCGCCTGTTGGGCTCTCTCTCTCTCTCTCTCTCTCTCTCTCTGTCTCTCTCTCGCTCTCTCTTTCTACATCTCGAAATCTGTGGTCTTGTATCACACTGTGGCTCCTCCTGGCACGGTTGACCGTGTCTAACGGAACAGCAAGAAGCTTTGCTGCCAGTCCTTAGGATCCAGTCCAGACTCCACACTTCGGCACGCGCAGCCCTTCATGCTGTGCAATCCTTCGAAGTAGGGCCGGCTGCCTCCCAAAGTAGCCTGCACAGCCTCCCACCGAGCCCGCTCGATTTTGGGATAATACTTGGGGCAGGCTTGCATGCGATGTGTCTGCTGATATGATTACGTGTTTTGGATCGCGGTGGCTGGGCATTTCGTCGGCCGCGATATCGGGCAACATCTGTTTCCGTGCTTCAGTCTTCTGGATAGGAACGATGCACCCCTTGCTGCAGTCGCTGCAATTCCTGCGCTCACTGGAACGGCTTCGTGCACCAACGAGCTGGTGCGACCGACGGGGATAGCATTCCAGCGTTGCCCGCTGCTGAATCCGCCGAGGCCACAGGCCCAGGCGTCTTGGGGGCTGGCTCAAATACCTTTCACCTTCCAGACACCCGTTAAAATTATCAGGCTCCGAATGGGTAAGCTTCCAGCCTTCCAACTGAATGTTGTCTCGCGCAGACAATCAGAATCACTCCATCGCTGAAGCATCGTAACATCTACTTTCGCCCAAGCGGCGCGATCAAATTGCATCCGACGCCGGCAGAGTGGTCGGGAGAATGACAGTCATTCTCGTTGTTTGTGACCTTGGTCATTGATGACTCGCGAACATGGGCTTATAGTCCAGCCCGGATGGAAGCATTGACCTGAGATCGCGGCGAAGCCGTAGCGGCACCTGTTCAAGGCCTGGAAGCCTGACGTTGTTGCTCGGGACGGGATGGCGACAGGCAACATTAAACCTAGCACAGGACGGGCCTCTTGCATTGCAGTTATGTTGGAAGCAATTTCTCGTCACCGCTCGCCAGTGATTAACGTCACCGTGCGCCACATAGCTCCCGGTGAGCAGATCCTCCAATCAAAGACGACTGAGCTGCTCAGTTCATAAACAATCAAGCTCTTGATAAAAGGCCGTGCCGACCGTAGGAGAAATATGTTGAGCCTGCGGGCCATGCGAGATTGAACGCGTGAAAACACCGAAGACGCACCTGCCAGCTAACCAGACGAGGCCCAGTCGAGAGTCTAGGAGATGATCTTCAAATTCCTAGATCAGGAATCTGTTCTGCACAGCCCTGGAATTTCCAACCTCGGGCTGATGTTTGTACCCCTACATGCGTGACTTTCGCGCCTACTTCTAGGACAGCCAACCCGTAACAAGACTGAGGCTGGTGTCCTTCAAGGTCTTCTTGCCGTTGGGGCTGTAAGTGAACTCTCCTGTTCGAGAGACAAGACCAGGTTTGATGCGGCATTGGGCACGCAAAGACTTCCAGCAAAGCAAACGTTCTGTGCACTCTTCATCCTCGTGGGGCACCTTCGAAGGTGAATTTGATCTTCCTTGGCAGGAAGCATGATCTCGGAAAAGCACGTGCGGGAATCGTACGAGCACGGTGCATATCACCAAGACAGAAGGGCGCACGGAAAGGCCCGCAATTGCACGGCATGACCCGCTGTGACAGGATCCCTTTTGAACATAATTCGGTAAGCCGCTTTGCCCTGACACAGTAGAACTTCGTCTTCTTGTCGCCACCCTGATCAAACTCATTGCAGTTGGTCCATCCTCCCCAATTGTACATCATCACCTCAGTCATAAGCTCTGCGCTGGAAGGCCGGTCTATTGGATTCAACTCATTCCACGAGACTCATTCAGCCCAGGCGCATGATGCCTTGCCACATAGACTGCGAGTTGCCAGTCTGCAGAGCTTTCATTTGAGACGATCTCCTCAGGAGCTGAGCCCCTCACAAGGCCTGCTCTAGGCCCTCCTCCTAAGACAACGATATCGGTGGCCAACTCAGTCGTGGCACTTCTTCCATGTGCTCTTCCGCCTCCGCCTCAGCATCGACATCATCTTGAATCAGCTTCGCAGAGCGGATGAGGTGTCCTGCCGGCCAAGGACTGTCCGAAGCTCTCTACCTGCTCCCACTCCCTTGATCTTTTTGTCCCCAAGCTGTGTGGGAACACCATTGGGTTCTTCCAGTTAGGCGCGCTTGTCGAACTTATTGATATGGCCGCGCGCCGTGCATCTTGTTCTTATTTACAGCACATGGTGCCCCACGTCGCATTATTAGCAAGTACTTGGGAAAATTGCGGGCATGGTGCTCAATGCGCCAACACTTGAGGAAGCTTTTGGAAGTGCCTTGTCTTGGGAGTCTCCTGCTGCTCTCCTGGGGTGCCTGGTGGTCTCCAGTGACCTCCTGGTGGGTTGTCACGTCCTTGTCGCAGTCCTGATGATCTCCTGCTGGTTTCTGGCTGGTGTCCTGGTGGTCTGTTTGTGGTTTCCTGGCTGGTGGTAGTCTCTTGGTGGTGATCGCCGGGCGGTCTCTTGGTGGTCTTCTTGCTGTCTACTGGTGGTGTCACCGGCATGAAGCGTGATCTGGGCTTTCACAAGCTCGTCTACGTGTAGCCTGCGAAGCTGTCTCTGGGTACTCGCCCTGTTCACAATCTCCGTCCACCTTTTCCAGCACACCGCAGGACCCAGAAGAGGCAGCCAGCTAAAGATGCTCTGGGCAGCAGCAGCAGCAAGAGCAACAACCTTTGCAAGACGTGAAGTGCCCGTCCTTTGGCACCTGCGACGTTGGTGGCGCTTGTCATTGTAAGGTCATGCGAAGCGTCTGTCACCTTCGCACCGAGAAGTTGCACAACTTGTGGGAGAACTTTGTGGTACTCGTTAGGCTGTTCCACCACTTATCTCTTAATTACTTCTTTGCTCCGTGCCTCACCGCCAGCATGGACTTGAATGGAATGTTGCGCAGCGCATGTCGCAAACAGCGTATGAATAGCCAAGAGCCTCGGCTGTCTTGTCATAGTCAGAACGAACATAAGTCGTAACCTCATAGTTCTCATAGGCCCACACGGCCTATTCCGACATTCTTCTCACTCAATGGTAACGCAAGCGCATGTCGAGCAAAACATCACAATCACCCCACCAATGCATGCACGAGTCAGCCTGGGCAGGGCCGGCATTACATGAAGTATCGATCTGCCAAACAACTCGCATGTAACCAAGAACTTGAGCCAGTTGCAGCTTGCATGATGCACATTTTCGTCGCAAACATACTGGTAGAAAGTCCATGCCCATCAGACAAGCTTCCGCCCGTGCTGCTCTACGGTCAGCAGAGATGCGTAGGTTCTCCGATCCCCAAAACGCTTGCAATGGCTGGATTGCACAAAAAGCCTCCAAGAGGAAGATGTCCAAGAACTGCTGAAACGTTGGTGCGGCACCCTCGCAAGCTACCGGCCCGAGTCAAGGCATCTCGGATCAGAGAATGTTTCTGACAGAATGTTTGTCAGGTTCCTGTGGCTGACGTCACTGAAACACATAGCATGAAGATGCATGAAGCCTGCTGTGCCCAAGCAGATGAGAAAGGACGCGGCAGACTCCCAGTTACTGGGACAAATGCACCCCTCCCCGGACGCTGTGCACCAGAACACGTTAGCAATGTGTCGAAGCTGCTATGTATCCAACCTCGGCATAGTGCTGCACTCTGCCTCTGAAGGCATCGGTGGCCTCCAGTTCTAGAAAGCCCCGCGCGGATTACGGAAAGTTTACGGAAAGACTTGTGTTTTGGGCTTGCAGCGGCCACAGCGTGCATGTAGTGCAGGAATTGACGATCAGGGTGCAACGAGATGACCTGCCCGCGACTGCAATTGAAACGGTGAACCTTCTTGGTCCCTCCGGGAGCTGTGCTCCTGCGTTGAGCATGTATGTTCGACCTGTAGCAACGCAACGAGACGAAACAATCAAGAACAACTAAGATATATCCGCCGAGGCCACAGGCCCAGGCGTCTTGGGGGTTAGCTCAGGTACCCTCCACCTAATCCTCCTCCCTGCGGTCCAAATGTTTGGGGACACCCGTTTTTTGCGTTCGTTTGCCACCCCCTTGCCCGGCTTCCCTTCATTTTACCTGATTTGTCGGCCTCCCCCCCCCCCTCCCACCCCTCCCCCGCCTCACCCCCCCTCCCCCCCCCCTCCCCCCCCCCCCCCTCCCCCTGTGCCTATACACCCACAAGGAATACTCCTTGTTAGGAGGTGTATGACCAGTTATTCCCTAAGGATCAAAGGGCAGCGCCCTGCACACGGACAGTAGTTGTTTTGTCTTGCTACGCAAGGAGAGCTTGTCTTGTCTCAATATGGTAAAACCACTGTGAGCCAATGGGCAGCGGAATGTATATGTATGAGCATGCAGCCATTGCTGTAGGTACCTGTTAGAGCTACCCCTTTAGAGGTTTATGGTTTCAAACAGACACTAATTTTCTTTTACCGGAAGCATGGCCGCACATTCACACATATACTATTATGCCCACTGTCACAGTTGCGGAGTCTGGACTCATGATGAAAACAGCATATTATTTAAGCTAGGTATAGCACTGAAGTACACTGCTGAGGACACTCCTTTTGCACACACTCATGCATGTTGGTCAGAGAGATCGTCTGTACAAGATCATGTCTGGTGATATTTTCTACATCGAATTATGCAGCCCTTCACTTTGCTCTTGTTAGAGCTTTGTGAGTCACTGTTGTGAAACTCCGAGATTTTCCTTATCTCAGATTTGGATCCAGGTTTGGATCATAGGCTCGAGCGTAGACGTTCGGATGTGGCTCATCCGGGTCTGAGTGATCTTCTTCGGAACTTGAATAAATTCCGAGTAGTCTGTTCTCAGCCCTGGTGAAGGCGGCGTCTGCAGTATCATATCCATGGTTGGATGTTGTCGCCTTTGGCTCGGCCTTTGGCGCAGCTTGTGAGCTGACTGGAGTTGCCTTGGCTTTAGCCGGTTGTGGCTGCTTAGCCTTTGCCCGTTCAGCCCTTCTTCTTTCAAGCTGTCCGTCTGAGGACGCCCATGATCTTTCACTTTCATCTCCTGAAGGAGATAAGGCGTGGGCATAAAGGCTATTCCAGTACTGTGCTGCAGAAGGAGTTAGGACTTCTTCATTGTCAGATTCTGACTGGTCTTCCTCAGAGCTTTGGTCGTCAAAGAGTGTCTCGAGGACATTTTTGAGATTGTTATTTCTTCGCTCTATCTCTAGTGAGGAATGGACCAATTGGTTAAAGACTGTCCTTGAGTCCTTCAGTGCTGTTAGAAGGATTTCCACTCTGGATAGAGTATCTTGGATGGTGTCAAGATGTTCCTTCCTTTCCTCCTTGTCTCTCTGGATAGAGCTTCGCAATGATTGTGCGATTCTGAGGAGGTCTGTGTATTTCGTAAGAGGCATAGTTACCGTTTGATTGTCATGTATGACAGTTGTTTCGTCGCCGCTTAAGTTCCTGAATAGGACTTCCACGACTGGTAGAAACTCCGTGCTCCACGGTTCCTCTTCATCATATGTTTCTACGTGCTGTAGCACGCGTTGTGTAAACTGATCGGCTGCTTCTACCGTTGCATCGATAGAGCTGACGTGTCTTGCTGCCATGTTTCGGCACGTAATGTTAATTGCCTGGCCTTGATTGGCTTCGTTAAGTGCAGCGTCTGCATAGGTGCAGAGTCCACTGTTGTGGGCTTCTCTGGCTGCCTTTCGTTGAATGCGCCGATTTTGACCTCCTCTTCTGGTAGGACCTTTTGGTCTCGGAGGATCTGAAGGTACTGTTCCTTTCGCCTTTGGCGGAGGACTCTTAGGTGGAGGTGACATGTTTGCCTTGTTAGGCACTGGTGGCATTGCCTTGGGCGCTGACGACGATGCGGCACTTGAGAGTGCAGATGTACCTTTGGCTTTTGCCGAGGATCCCTTGGGGATCGATGTATAGGTAATCTGCATGGCTTCTTCGGCCATTTGTGCATGCAATGCATCTTTGAATAATTGCGTCATATGAGGAGTGGTACTTGCATCATCGTAGGTCTGGAAGCGCTCAATGTCTCTTTCGGTGCCACGTGGACGTGTATCACCTCTTTGAAAAGGATCGTTCCTGCGAATCTCCGCAACTTGTACTGCATGGAGGCAGTTTTTGCACAGCACCTTCCTGCAAACATCTCTTGCTTGCTTGAGCTGGTAACAGCTGTCTGAGAGATGGTAGACTTCGCTTCGGGAAGTATGCCAGATAGGTCGCAGATCAGTTGTTTCTCCGGAATTGACCCTGTTGGGTCCTAAAGGTTCACGCGTCTGCGGTTCATCCTCGGGTTCGAGGAATGGAACTCTTTGGTTCGCTGCTGCTTTTGATTTTGGTTGTTGGCGCTCCATACATCTGATAGGAGGCCTGGTAATCTGCTTCCACATCCAGTGTAAGCCCATTAGCAGCAGAAACACATTCCACGCGATGCTGAAGACGGAGAAGTCCTGCTCACTGGTTAGTGAGTTTGGAAGTGAAGTTTCATCAGTCTTGATAGACTCTGCGTTCGCTCCACCTTGGTTGCGGTGTCCGAACCAGCCCGACAACCCCGCTGCTGTAGCAGCTGTTCTGAGTGCCTTGCCGCTCGGAGCAGACGGTGGACGCGATGCCTTCCTTCTTCTCCTCCGGCTGGAGGATTCGTCCTCTTGTTCCTCTTCATCTCTCTGAGCAGACATCAAGTTTGATGTTTCTCTTTCGTGTTCTTCGATGTCACTTTTTGTTGGTGACGGTTCTTCTTCTAGTCCATCCAGCTCTTCCAAAGACATGTTGAGCTTGTCAACAATATTGGTTCTTTGAGGCCTGGACCTTGATCTTGGTAGATCTTGTTGTGAAGAGGACGATGATTCCTGGTTCCTTCTTGGAGGAGGACCTTCAGGCTCGCTGGGACGTTCAGGCTGTGGCCATTCCCAGAATCTTCCGTATCTGTGATGGCTACCTGATGGTTGCGATCTGTCGTACCAGCTGTTGCCGGATGAGTAAACGAATGAATCTTTGTAACCCCAGTATTCAGCATTACGCTGCTTGAAAGCCTTTCGCTTGTCAGCGATCTTCTGAACCTGGGCATCTGACCGGTTGTGTTTCCCTTTTGTAAGGATTGGTTGTATCGTGAAGCCCAAAGGGCTGTGCCAATCTTTGTCAGAGGGACTCAACCATAGGTCAAGGTTAGAAAAAGTTGAATAGTACTGCTTGACTGAGACAAACAGACGGATATCAATATCCCTGTTATTGTTCATGTCCTGCCACATATCTGAGATTCGCTCCCAGTATGTTCTTTCGGCGGCAGGTGTAACATCTCTTGGACTAGGTGACGCCGTGTGCGGCGTTTTACTCCAGTCAAGGATATAACTGTTGATACAGTCAAGGTCAGCAACTTTCTTCGCCGGGTCCGCCGGTAGACGATCTGCACGTGCCAGTCTGTGCTGGTCGGAGTTGTTCAAGCAAAGATGTCGCACTTGTGAGTGCCTTCCTGCTATTTTGTTGAATGCTGCAAGTTTCTTCTCCAGGTATAGAGAAAACAAACTGTTTCGCGGGTGAACGTCTCCACCTTTTAAGGTGAGCCTCGACGCAATATTATTGAGATCTCCCGCTATTACATCCGGTTTAAAAGGGAGAATCTCGTTGAGGAACGCGTTCACCAGTTCGCGTCTCTGTTCTTCCTTATGAGTCATGAATGAGTTGAAATGGACGATCGCGATGGTGATGACCTTGTAAGGCCCTTTTGTACACCACATCTCGTCAAGATCGTTCGATGCTTCTTGTGAGAAGATCTCTGCGTATGACTCAAAGTCTTCCTCTGGTGGCTCATCACCCTCGACATGGCCGTTCCATTCACAGAGAACCGGCGAGGGGTCGAGGTTCGACAGTGTCAGGCACGCCTCTGGTGAGAGGTAAGAGCCATCAGTGGGTCCATCCTTGTCAGGATTTTTGCCCTTGAGTGGGTCATATCCGATAATCTGCATGAACTCGTCTCTCGTCATCCTTTGGCCAGAATATGGGTGGACCCATTCTTTTGCCTCCTGGATGGTACTGTGGTACCCAAAGGTGAGGCGGCATACCGCACCGTGGCATGCCCACAGTCGCTTCTTGGGACCACCATTCTTAGGCTTCATTGTTCGATGACGGTAAAAGTGGTGGACGAGAGCGATGTCTGTTGTTGGGTCACCCTTGACTCCAATATACATCGAGGGTGCCTCAGGCTCCTTGGGAGGAGAATGGATTAGCATCCCCCTGTATTCATGTTGTCGCATGGTTGCGATCGAATACTCTGACGCAAGTGCTCCTGCCTCGAGTACGAGGGTAATATGAGCTGAATTGTTGAAGCACATGTCAATAAGAGGGTGATAATCGAATCCCTTCTCAGGTTTGAGCTTCTTTTTGGGATTCCCTGCGGGCACCGGCGCTCGATCCATATTTCCCCAGTTGAATACCACTAGGTTTAGCGATACGCTGTCTGGGTTTGAGCCTTCAATGTATTCTCTCTTCTCGTTAACACCGGCCATCCTATTGCGAACTATCTCGTAATGTGCGTCGAGCACCAGTTTGTCTTCGTAGCCAGTAAGAGAGAGAAAAGAAGCCGGGTGGCTTGTTCTAGAGTCCTTGATATTGATGTGACTCTTGTTAATGCTCTTGTATTCCTCCAGGGTTGGAGCCTCTGTGGAGCTGTCATACGTATTCGGAGGATTGTTCCTAATATCATCAAGGCTGCATGGATCAACGCCTGGATGGTCCTTCTCGAACAGATTTCTTGCGTGGTCGCAATACATGTTGATTTTCTGGACTGCCAAATCTACGTCCTCATGTGTGAGGATGGCCTCGTATAAAAACTGACGCTCTTCTGAGGTCATTCCTGCTGACACTTTAGAGGTCTCGAGGCAATCGATTGGCAAGACGCAC